AAATCAACACATTAATAATTTAAAGGAAATTAGATTTACAGAAAGCACATAAGATAAGAGTCAATGTCTATTTATAATAGCAACAAAAATAAATTATTGGCACTCTATAAACGGAGTCCTCCTTCGCTTGAATGGGCATTTACAAAAAGCTAAAAGAAGCGTTGGTGGATTCTTCAATCTCAGCAAAAGGAGTAGGTGTTTGTGAAAGAAAGGAAAATAGAATCAGGGAAGGGCTCAGGAGGAGATGATAAGGAACTTGTAATTCTTCTATATCTTACACTGGAGTGTGATATAAAATGGTCATTTTTAACTATTCTTTAAAATTTTCAGTTAGATTTTATAAACTTGTGTATGTACAAAATACTTTATAGTAAAAATATTTCTAAAAACTTGAGGACAAAATATAATACATTTCTTAAGAAGTACTGTTGAGAGATGTGTAGAAAATCATCGCTGAGGATTTCAAGAAACACAATATTCAAATAAGTTAGGTAGATGGGAAATTTACTGTATAGTTAGAGGAAAGTACAAATGCTTCCAACATGGCTGAATGTATGCTGTTTGCTCCATAATATTTCAATAACATAAAATGTGAAGAACTAATCTTGGTGAATGATCAAATGAAAGATGTATAGGAGAAAAGATGTCATCAACAGTCAATAATTTCTTCAATCACAAAACATTTTGTGGAAACACAGTAAAATATACACATTAATGGAGCAATGGCTTTGACTGGAATAAAAATTGAATCTGGAATGAGGCCATGCTCATAGAACTCTGTTGTGATTCCTCTCTTTCTGCTCATCTCTCTCTATGCACTGTCTACAAATCACAGGATTTGGCTGCATGAAGAGACACCAAGGTGGTGTCAGGTAAGGACAGAGCAGCACTAACAGTTGGCATGGGGGCAGTGGTAGAATTCTCACCGGCCATGTGGAAGACCCAGTGTGATTACCAGACAATGTACCTCAATTGCAGCCATCACCCATCTCTCAGTGTAGGGATGTGTGTTGCTGTGATGCTGAACAGGTTTCACTGGTGTTTCTAGATTAAGACAGACTAGGAAGAAAGGGCTGGTGATCTGCTTGCAAAAAAACTCAATCAATAAAAACCCTGTGAATCACAACAGTCTGATCCCTTTGTGCATGAAGTCACTATGAGTCAGGGCCTGACCTCATGGCAGCTAAGAGCAAACAAACACAGTTGGCTTGGCCACCCAACTTCATCCTGTCAAGGACAAGAGAAAGCTAATCACAGAGACACAACTATTATTTCTGGCACTCACCAGATCTACTCTAGAATATCTTTTCCATGTTTAATCTTGGGACTAGAGATTCTAGAATTGATATCTCCTCATATGGAAGAACTTACTCCCTGATTCCTTATACTACAAGCTGTTTTCACACAACTCTTTGAATCCTTGGAAAACACTGTCTTGTTTGTTATTGTTAAGTGCCATCAAGTTGTCTCCAACTCACAGCAACCCTATGCACAGCAGAATGAAACACTACCCAGTCCTGAGCAGCTCCACAATAATTGCTACACTTGAGCCCATAGCCGCCGCCACCGTGTCAATCTACCTTGTTGAGGGCCTTCCCCTCTTTCAACGACCCTCCACCCTACCAAGCATGACATCCTTCTCCAGGGAATGGTCCCTTCTGACAACATGACCAAAGTATGTGAGATGAAGTCTGGCCATTCTCGCCTCCAAGAAGCATTTCGGGTGCACTTCCTCCAGCATTCTTTGCCAACACCTCAGCTCAAAAGCATCAGCTCTTCGGTCTTCCTTATTCATTGTCCAGCTCTCACATGCATATGAGGTGACTGAAAATACCTTGGCTTGTGAAAATACCTTGGTGCACCTTAGTCCTCAAGGATACATCTTTGCTCTTCAGCACTTGCAAGAAGTCCTTTACAGCCGATTTGCCCAGTGCCATACATCATCTGATGTCCTGACTGCTGTTTCCATTGGCGTCAATAGTAGAATGTTTTTAGAATCTGATGTTCAATAATAAAAAATTCACTCCCAAAGTAAACATCACCTAATTAAAGCAAGATGGATATTTTTTCTTTGACCTTTTCCTTTTGGGGAACTATAAAATTATACAAAATGAATGGAAAACAATGATCTCAGACCTTTCACTAAAATCATACTGATTTTCTAATTCCTTTCATTTGAAGGTACCTGGAGGAGCTCTGATGGCACAGGGCCTAAGGCATTTGACTGCTAAAACCAGACAATGTTTTAAAAGAACTGATTCAAACCCACCAGCCACCCCCCAGAAGGAAGATTGGGCAATCTACTTCTGTAGAGATGGTTGTTGTTGTTATGTGCTGTCGAGTCGGCCCTGACTCATAGCGACCCCTCTTTGGGTTTCCAAGGCAGTATCACTACAGAAGTAGGATTGCCCAACCTTCCTTCCGAGGTAGCGCCTCACAAACCCAAGGAGGGGTCTCTAAGAGTGAAACCTGACAGGAGTGAGTTTGGTTTTTTTTTGGATGTTTAGAAATTGAGCTAATGTGAAAATCTGGAGTATCTTTTTGATTAATACTAGTGTTTGTAGGGGAGGGAAAGAACTTGTAATTTCATTTCTCCAATAGTGTCTACATTTTGGGGCACTTAGAACTCATTTCTCAATAGAAGTAATAAGTGATGATTGGTGTCCCGATTCCCCACTGACACCTGAGAAATCTGGTAAATCATTTCCCCACACGTCAGCTGCTCTTAGGGATGCTCCTTTGTTTCCCCTGCTCCTTTTCTTCTCTAGTAATGTGTCAGCCTGCTTCGGTGTAGTGCAGGAAGTGTGGGCTAATATGGGTACCGAATTTCCATGCTCCACTCCTGCGTAAAGCAGCAGAGCAACTCTGATGATTTCTCTCCTCTATGTTTGGCCAGGCTGGTGGTCTCCTTAATGCATGCCATTGCTGGGCTTTCTCTCACAGTCTCCTGAGTCCTTCACAAACCATGTTCAACTGCTCAGGCACCCACCATTCTGTGCTTTGTTGTATCATTTCTCCCTACCTCTATCAGCAGACTACCTGAAGAGCCATTTTTAACTTGATCTAACCTAGCCAAGGAGCTCAGGTGGCATAGTACCTAAGGCATTTGACTTATAACCAGAAGGTTGGTGGTTCAAACCTACCAGCCACTCCTCGGAAGGAAGGTTGGGCAATCTACTTTCATAGGGATACTGCCTTGGAAACCCAAGGAGGTGTTGCTATGAGTCGGATCCAACTTGATGGCAGTGAGAGTTGAGTTTAATCTATCCAACCAGTTTCATTTACCAAAACAGTTCACCTCTACACGTTCAATAAAGGTAGTTCTCTGAAAAGCTCTGCTCTGTATCTATTTTGGTCTTTGAATTGGTCAAGCACAAAACGCACTGCCGTGGAGTTGGATCCCACTCATAGAAACCCCTCCTTGGGTTTCCAAGGCGGTATCACTACCGTAGTAGCTTGTCCAACCTTCCTTCTGCAGAGTGGCTGGTGGCTTAGAACCGTCAGCCTTCTGGTTAGCAGTCAAATGTCTTACACACTATGCTACCAGTATTCTCTAATTAGAATGCCTCTTCCTTGTCCACTCAGTGCATTCACTCATTCATTAATGAATATAGCTAAATTTATCAAGTCCTTACTCTGTTCCAGGTGATGGAATGTGGTCAGGAATAAAATGGTGAACAAAAGATACATGGTCTCACTCAAGGAGTCTATACTCCTTTGCTTGCACACTCTCTCATCCTTCCAGATGTCATCAGAATCACTTCCCACAACACCCTCAGGTTAAGCTAGTTGCTCCTTCTTCTGAAAGGCTTGGTCCTTGTGTCTACCCTGGAAGAGGTATTTATGTCACACTTATTATTTTAAGCCTATCTTCCACACTGAACTCTAAGCTGCTGACAGTAAGGAGTAGGTCTTGGCATCAATAGCCCTTCCTCCTATAATGCCTAGGGCAATGTTGGATATCAGATCTGTTTGAAGGGGCTTGACTCAAAATTTAGGCATCATGCCAGGAGACAGTGTTTTAAAAGAACTACTTCTATCCATAAAGAGGATAGTATTTTCATAAATATATATGCAATTCCTATCCTCAAAAATCCTGAATGTATACTGCAGTTAATGGTTTAAAACTAATCTTTATATTCTTTTTCCCTTTGCATAGAATCTGCTCTTTCCTAAGATTTCTGTAAATAACAAGGTTTTTTTTTTTTTTTCTTTCTCTTTTCTATCAGGCTGTATGCTAATGCATTATAGCCTGAGGAAGGAACGTATCTCCCACTCTCCTATTCCTAATGCCGTGGTTACTATAAGACTATATTTCAATGCAGGATTATTTTTCATTGGTCTCCAGATATATTGTTCCCAATGCAACCTAGTATTTTTTTTCATATATTGATTTATTTGGGGAAAATGAATTTTATGAGCTAGTCTACAAGGTTTTGCTTCTTTCCTTAAATATCTAGAATGGCTACAACAATAACTTCTTCACCTACATTTGACAGTAGTAATGTATAAATCATGAACTGAATTTTTTAGTGGCAATGGCAACACTTAAGATAACTGGACTTGTAATCACAGAAATAGGAGTCTAAGTTTATAACCTAGATGAAATAAAGATGCTCCTGATGAAAATCAGGCCATTTGGCCAGCAAGGATTTTATGAAGGAAATGAGAAAACATTCTGGGACTAAAATTATAATGCTTTAAACTACGATTCTAACTGCCATCACCTTAATCCTAGTAAAAGAAGAACATAATGATATTAATTTGCAGAATCTAAAATGGTTCCTATCAGGATGTTAACTTCAGCCTAACCATATGTTAATTTCAGCCTATCCTTAAAGACTTAACAAACCATTGCATCATGTTTTGATCTAGGAGAGCAAAACACTTTATAGACAAGGAAACAAGTAACCAATTTTAAAATGCACACCGATCTAACTGTATCTCTAAGAAGATTTCATGTATAATTACTTAGAATGAATATTTAGAATTTAATGTACCTTTTCCAGTTCGATCTTGCTTGAAATTTTCCCTGCATCATCACAGTAGCTGAAAAATAAATTGACCCAGTTTATAATTTTATTAAAATGTAATTTGGAAAATTAGCATAGTGCCAAAGGCATTTGACTGCTAACCAGAAAGCTGGTGGTTCAAACCCACCAGCCACTCCTAAGAAGGAAGGTTGAGCAATCTACTTCCGTAGTGACCACCTCGGAAACCCAAGAAGGGGTCTATGAGTCGGGCGCGACTGGATAGCAATGAGTTTGGTTTTAGTTAAATCAAAATGTCAATATTCTTTACCTTGGAATTGATTTTGTTTTCTCTTTCATCTCATTTAATTCATGTCCATTAACACTTTCTGCAAAAGATTAAATGAAAGGAAAGTCATTTAAGTAAGTAGTTATCTTTGGGTGTATGTGGGCATGAAAAAATGTAAGCAGTACTAGAAAATGAAAATAAATTAATCTTGTATTAACATATATCATAACAGTATTTTATAAACACAATTATTCCCCCAATGTTTTTCACTGCCTTAAAGCAGTACATCAGAGCCAGAAATAACCACAGTAAAATCTGATGCTGCATCCAAATACAATGAAGGAATTAAAGAGTCCCACTATCATGCTGAGAGGTCATTTCAGGATAGGAAAGAGTAACCTGAAGGTCTACTGATAAAGGCTTGAGACAGAATTCCATCAGACTGGTGGTAAGTCATCCTTCCTCTTTTGCCAGAGAATGTAAATTCAACCATAAGTTAAAAGTGAAATATTTGTATATAATTTTCTTTATAAATATTGAAAAATATGGAAAGCAAAAGACTAAATCACATCATGTAAAAATAGTTCTTTCAAAATTTTGCCAACAATTCTTGAGTTTATGACAATTGCCCAAATGCCTAGACCCTGCTGTGGCCATATCAATGCATGTTACCATCAATTTCCAGTCCACGGTTGGTAGCTCCACTGCAATAAGTCATCCGAGTGGCCTCGACCTCTGCTTCAGCACTAATGATCTGCTGTGCCACGGCCTCCACGATGGGCATCACCATGGCAGCAGTAGAGGTGTTGCTAAGCCACATGGACAAGAAGGCAGTACTGCTCATGAGCCCCAACGTCAGCCTGAAAGGAGAGAGCCTTCAGTGAGAGCTGTGCTCACCAGAGCTCCTCCAGCTTAATTAGCTCCATGTTATTTAACTGCAAAGGATGTTGTCTGGGAGTTGGGGATTTTTTCAGAATGTAGAAGACTAAAGTTCACCTGAATGACGAACTCCAAGTGTAGTCAAAGCTTTTGTAGAAGTCAAAGTGGCACATTTAAGAGTGGAGTTCTTCAGAGATTTGTCCCTCCAGGAACCATAATAATCTTACTCAGAAAATTGAAAATTATTAATCTTATAGCCAGACTTCAAGGTACAATAGCTTAAAACATTATCCCAATATGTAAGTGTTGTTTAGAGATTACTACTTACCTTGATATATGAGTAAGATGAAAGAGTGGTCAACTTTTGAATTTAGGTTTCTTTACTCTTTATCTTTTGGCTATATCTCCATTTATCAGTGTGTATGCCACAGAGGCACAAGATCGAGGAGAGAGATTAATATTTATAAATCTCCTTTTTTTACCTGCTCACTACCATTGTTCAATATATTGGAGGAAATTGTTAAAATTACTCGCTAACATGAGCCTTCAGAATTTTCTGCCGATTTTATTATTTATGCTCTTCTGAATTTGACATTCCTGCCTGTTTTCAAGATCTGGATATATTACATTGTCTGTAGGCACTGTACTACCAGAGCTCCCATAAATACGCAGTTCTCCTTTAAAAATAACATACCTAAGACTGTTGGATTTTAACCCATGCCTACAAGTTTTCAAAATCATACTCGGGAAGAACTATGATCTTTCCTGAGTAGGAGGCCCCAGAAAACTACTCAGAAGCATATCTTTCTATACACCAAACAAACCCACAGCCATTGAGTTGAATCTGACTCATAGCAACCCCTTCTTGGGTTTCTGAGGCAGTATCACTATGGAAATAGATAGCCCAGTCTTCCTTCCGAGGAGTGGCTGATGGGTTTAAACCACCAGCAGTCAAATGTCTTAGGCATTATGCTATGAGAGCTCCTATCTTTCCATATGTTGTTGTTGTTGTTGTCATGTGCCATCGATTTGGACTTGACTCAAAGCCACCCCTCCTTGGGTTTCCGAGGCAGTATCACTATGGAAGTAGATTGCCCAATCTTCCTTCCAAGGAGTGGCTAGGGGATTTGAACCGCCAGCCTTCTGGTTAGCAGTCAAGTGCCTTAGGCACTATGCTACCAGAGCTCACATCTTTCCATATAGAACCTCTTTTTCTTATAGTTCATAACCATTTAATTTATTGAGAAGAGATGCTGCTGTAGTTCTTGATCTAGCAGCAGCCATTCTCTTGTTTACAAAGCTTTAGTTTTATTCGTTGCTTTGCTCTGTACTGAGACATAAATAAAG